ATCCGTTTCCAAGCAAAAGCTCGGGTGCGAGGTATTCAGGGGTACCACAGAACGCTGTGTAGAAGGTTAGACGGATTCAGGTTGAAAGCAGGGGTAATCTTACTGTTTGTGCGATCCTCATCCTTCATGTCCAACTTGCACAGACCAAAGTCGCACAGAGCAATGTGGCCAGTGTAATCCAGAAGAATGTTTTCAGGCTTGAGATCACGGTAGATGACCTTGAAACCATGCAGGCATTCCAGCGCACAGAGCAGCTCGGCAGTGTAAAAACGGGCCCGGTTGATATCGAAGCGCTGCTCGCGCTGAAGGTGATGGAACAGCTCACCGCCGTTGACGAAAGCAAGGACGAGGTACAGCTTCTCCGGAGACTGGAAGGAGAACTTGAGAGGGACGATGAAGGGGTTGTTGATTTGAGAGAGCACGGATCTTTCGGCGAGGGTGTGGGTGACTTCCGACCGTGAGATGATGTGCGCCTTGCGGATAGTCTTGAGGGCGTAAATCCGACCCGTATCCTTCTTCATGACCTGCATGACCTTGCCGAAACTACCCTTACCCACAACCTTCAGCAACTCGAAGTCTTCCAGCTTCATGCTGCGCTGCTTGTTCTCGACGAAGGAGACACCAATCTTGATGGAACCGGTGCCGAACTGCATATCCAGCCATTCGGCGCCCAGCTGGCCCAGCTGGCGCTCCTGCGGCGTCTTCTTGGACTTGGGGTCTTCCGCATGGGGCTGAGCCTCTTCGAAACGAGGATGTACCTTGACGGCGCCGAGGAAGATATCCTCGCTGCGACCAGCGCCAGGACGAGCCGTGGGGTTCCGCAAATACAACTGAACGTTCAATTCCGTCTTGCGCGACACATCAAACTTATAAGCCGTGTTGTCTCCAGCCCACAAGGGGTTTTCGGGGGAACCAGAAACGGCGTCGACGAAAACTTGGTTCTTTTCGAAATCCAGAAGGGCATAGGGGAGGTACTTGGTCGAATAGCGACCGTGGGAGGTCGGAGCGGCATTGATACCCCCGCTGGTGGATTGAGGGCGACCGCTGGGGACGTAGGAGGCGGCCTGTCCGTGTGCAGAGTGGGATGACGAAGAGCTTGGACGCATGCCATAGGAACCGCTGCTCTGGAAATGGGAGTTGAAGATCTGTTGGTAGTGGGGGGAAAGAGAGAAGCCTCGACCTTCGTGGAGGGTGACGATCAGGATTCCGGGCTTGACAGGGGCCACGGGCGGGGAGACGAGCGACTCCGAGGCATCTTTAAGAGAGTGTTAGACGGTCGGCAGAGAATTGAAGAGAGTAGGAACAACATACTGATTCCATTGGAGTTTGTTGTGGAGATACTGGGGGTTTGCGAAACAACGGGGGTCTCTTCGCCAGAATCACCTTTGATGGTGGATGTGGAGGAGGATCGGGTGAATGTTTGGGTCAAAGGAGCCAAGTGCGTCTCCTTTAGTTCTGTATGAGGGAATTAATTCATTAGCATCCGATATGCCGGGACAAAGGAAACAACAACCGGGCATAAACATCGCACATACTTCTAGTGAGTTTCCACGACATTGTCATAGGTATGTTCTAGCAAGCGAATCCAGGGTGTGTATATGTTTGGAGAAAGGGCGAAGAGGGAGAGGAGGGGAACAGGAAAAGAGAGGATCAATTTGAACAGTCTTCCGACGGTTTTAAGAGGAAGAGGAAAAGGAGAGAGGAATAGGAGGCCAACAACTGGGTCGGAGGCCTGGCAGAGAAGAAGGGCAAAACGAGCCAGACCAGTCAAGTGCAGTGATAATATGCAGAACCGCCACAGCCACAGCGGTCAGCGACACAGAAAAAAGAGGGAGGAGAAGAGAGGGAGGGAAAGAGGAATGAGGAGGGCGAGGGTAAGTAAGTAGTAGTAGTAGTGGTTTCAGGAACCACCGATCGGGGCGGGAACAGGGGAACACCCGCAAACTGTACAAGACGCTTGAAGAACAAACGAAATGATGGTGGAAGTAGAACCAGGGTCGGGGACACGATGGAACGACGAGAAGGAGGATCGACCCGGAAAAGTGACTTTTTTTAGGGAGAGACAGTTGATAAGGCGAATTGGGGGGGTAAGAATTGGGAATGGGGGGGAGGAGGAGTAGGAGGGGGGGAAAGGGAAGAGGGGGTGAATGAATGAAGGTGGGAAAGGGACTGAGCGAGGCTGAACTCTGAATAGAATAAGTCGCCGCCACTCCGTCCTTCATTGGCCCAGGAACCCCGTTGCCTGAATGTGTGCCTGGGGCATGAATCTTTGTCACCCTGAGGCGGTGCATTCCCAGATCGTAGTCTAGTCCCGATAAAGTAACCACCCAGTGCACTAGCCTCAGAGCTTAGCCACCGCCCACCCCCCAGAACCTCGAATCGTCCGTCCGCCGATACGCGACCAGTCTCCTGTTCACTGCAAACTGCTACTATCACAATCCTTCAGCCATCCCCAGAAACCTTGTTGGTATTACGGTTCTTGTCTGTGCTGGATCGACTTTTTTGGGACCAACCTGACGTTGAGCCCTCAAGGTTACTCCACCCTAGTTTCCCCGGCATTTCCCCCCGCTCATCGACTGCGGAGACGTACATCCCTTTGCGCTACCGTCGTTCTCCGGACCATCACCTTCATACCCGACGCGCATCACCCTTTTCTCATTAGTTCCAAATTGCCCTCTCATTTCACTGGAGGGCGTGTCGGTGTGGTCGAAACGGATCCGGGAACATTGGAGGATGAAAGGGACCCGCGACCGATGGGTGTAATACGGAAGAAGACCGCCTCGCGCGGCACTGAAGCGGGCACCAAGTATCACTGTGATATCTGCTCGGTTGATGTGACTTCGACGGTACAGTCTGCGATCCGTGTTCTAGAAATCTTCGCTTCTTGTCGACCTTAAACCTAATCTATCGGTCTCTTACTAGGTTCGCGTATCTTGCGCCCATCCCGCCTGCCACGAATACGATCTCTGCGTCCCCTGCTTCGCTGCCGGAGAGAAATCCAAGAACCATGACCCGTCAACGCATCCATTCCAGGTGATCGAACAGAACTCGGTCCCGATCTTCGAGGAGGACTGGGGTGCGGACGAGGAGCTCCTGCTGCTGGAAGGCGCCGAGATCTACGGACTGGGATCATGGGCGGACATTGCAGACCACATTGGTGGTTACCGCACCAAGGAGGAGGTTCGCGATCACTACATCAGCGCCTATATCGATAGCCCGAACTTCCCGTTACCGGAACGCGCCGATCCGGACGACAAGCGCCTTTCGGAGGCCATTTCGAAGGAAGAATTCCAGGCGCGGAAGAAACGCCGCATCGAAGAGCGCAAAGAGGCGGCCAAGGCAGCTCCACCCACAACACCGAAGCAGAAGCCTACTGCCAGTGTACCGGCTTGTCACGAAGTGCAGGGCTACATGCCGGGTCGGTTGGAGTTTGAGACAGAGTTCATGAACGAAGCCGAGGAAGCGGTGCAGCACATGACATTCGAGCCTGGTGCGGGCGAGACGGCGAACGGTGAGACAGATGCGGAGATGGAATTGAAGATGACCGTGGTGGATATCTATAACTCGCGGCTTACGGCGCGCACGGAGCGCAAGAAGATCCTCTTCGAGCACAACCTCCTCGAGTACCGCAAGAACACGGCACTGGAGAAGAAGCGCACGAAAGAGGAGCGCGACTTGCTGAACAAGGCGAAGCCGTTTGCCCGGATGATGAACCACGATGATTTTGAAGAGTTCAACAAGGGCCTCGAGTACGAGCACAACCTGCGGCTAGCCATCACGCAGCTCCAGGAGTGGCGCCAGATGGGCATTGGTGATCTCAAAGGCGGAGAGAAATACGAACAGGAGAAGCAACAGCGGGCACAGCGGATGGTGCCGCAGGGCTCGTTTGATCGGTTCGCCAGCACGCGACCGACGAAGCAGTCGCAGCAACCAGAACAGCCGTCCGCTGCCAGTCAGCTGACGACCCCGGAGCTTCCTCTCCGGCTCCAGAAGGCGTCCGGGGCGCCTAAGGCACCAGAGCCTGTCAACCCGCCGATGAATGATTTTGATCGGGCGTTTGCCGCCACCAACGGCGACGGGATCACCACGCCGCAGCCAGTGAAGACCAAGTTTGTGATCCAGCCACTCAACGGAGTGATTCCGTGGAAGCTGGAGAACGAGGGAGCACCGGATCTGCACCTGCTGACCAAGGAGGAGGTCGAGGTGTGCAATGTGCTGCACATGCAGCCCAAGCCGTACCTAGTAATTAAGGAGACGTTATTGAAAGAGGCGATGAAGCAGGGCGGCAGTCTAAAGAAGAAGGACGCGCGAGCTATTTGCAAGGTAACCCTCTTTCCCTCTGCCAGCGAAAAAGAGTGAAATGGAATACTGACAAAGATTTCTACAGGTCGACAGTACCAAGACGAGTCGGATCTACGATTTCATGGTACACAGCGGCTGGATCAACAAGAGCTGAGCGTCTGATTTGCATGAGCAGGATACCACGTGGTTCTGTGTAAGGAGTTGCGGCGTTGTGAGGTAGATGATACGATTTACGGGTTTGATTCAGTGATTAAGTAGATGGACATATAGTTTATCTATACAAGGGACAAATTAATCCTTCAATTAACTATAAAGTAAACAGACTCTATTTTATTCTTTACGACTTCCATATAACTACTACAGTCAACCATAAAACAAGAGACAGTAATCGGAACCGATACCCACCAACTAACCACAGAACCAGTCTAGCGGCAAGACCGTCTTCTCCGCATTCCAATCTAACCAGCTTACCTTAAGTATAACTAACATCCGACCGAACCTCGGCATCATTCAAGACCCGTAATCAATCAATCAATTACATTTATAACAACACCACTCCCAATTCTCCCAATCCTCCATAACCCTCACCATACCCCAACCCATCTAATATCCCAAAGAAAAAGAAAAAAGATGACACCAACCCTCCCCACCCCCGCTTCAAACACAATAACCCTCTCCCTCCCCCACCCACAAGTCCTCCTAGTCACTCTCTCCCGACCCAAAGCACTAAACAGCATTTCCACCGCGGGCCACCACGACCTCCACGCCATCTGGACCTGGATGGACAACGAACCGTCAATAAGAGTAGGCATATTGACTGGATCCGGGAGGGCGTTTTGCGCGGGCGCAGACCTCAAAGGTAATACCCATACCCATACCCATACCCCTTTCTTCCCCTCCCACCAACATAATACTCATGCATATGTACATACAGAATGGAACACCAACGTTCAAACCCCCACATCATCCACCACCACCACTGCCTCCACCCCAGGTATGCCCCCCAGCGGCTTCGGGGGCCTCTCCCGGCGAAGCGGCAAAAAGCCTATCATCTGCGCGGTGAACGGGCTCTGCCTGGGGGGCGGATGCGAGATGGTGCTCAACGCCGACATGGTGATCGCTTCTTCTAAAGCGTATTTCGGGTTGCCGGAGGTGCAGCGCGGGGTGGTGGCGTGGGCGGGGGCGTTGCCGCGGCTGGGGAGGATTGTGGGACGGCAGAGGGCGATGGAGATGGCGTTGACGGGGAGGAAGGTTTCTGCGGAGGAGGCGGAGAGGTGGGGGATTGTGAATGAGGTTGTTGTTGGTGATGATGGTGGGAAAGGGGTGGTGGAGAGGGCGGTGGAGGTTGCGGTGCAGATTGCGGGGAATAGTCCTGATGCGGTGTTGGTTAGTCGGGAGGGAATCAAGTTGGGATGGGAAGGGATTGGGGTTGAGGAGGCGACGAGGTTGTTGACGGAGGGGTGGTCGGACAAGTTGAATCAGGGGGAGAATATCAGGGAGGGATTGAGGGCGTTTGTGGAGAAGAGGAAGCCCGTCTGGAGGGATAGTAAGTTGTAAGTAATCGGTTAAGATCTATATTGGCTACAGTTTATGAGAGACCTGGCATAGATTCATGTTCAGTCATGTAGTATTCGTGCTAGTTGCCTGCAACTATGTACATCATTATCATGTTATGACTATGCTAATCCGTTTCCATACCCATGCTCCATATCCGCGCCGACCAGTGTTCGCCGTATCCCAGATGGCCTGTCACCGTCCTGCGGCGGGGCCAGTTGTACATGCAGGTGATCGACTCGGAATGCTTTCGCAGTTTTCGTAATCGTAATCGTGAACATTAAAGAAGACAGTGTGCCACAACAGCAATGCCTTTACTTCGTCCCCTGCTGCACCTTGCGCACCCGCTCCAGCACGGCAGGATACAGAGGGTGTTTCTCTTCCAGGCCGGTGAGGTTGCTGGTGGCATCTTCCGCCGACTGTTCTTGGAGGATGTTGGCGAGCTCGGCACTCTCGTCATCACCAGGCACGTTCTGGAAGCGCAGAGCCATCTCGACAGCGTCCATCAAAGAATCATACTTCATGCCGCGCTCGGCGAGCTGCGAAGCCGGTCCAATGAAACGCTCCTTGCGAGACAGCTTGCGCAGGGGAGCACGACCCACGCGTTCGACATTGTCCTCCAGATAAGGATTGGAGATGCGGCTGACAATCTTATCGACGTACTCCTTCTGCTCCTCCTCTGAGATGCCGTGCTTGGTCACGATGAGCGAGGCAGTCTCCTCAAGAACTTTGTGAACAAGTCCACGAATTTCCTTATCCTCCAGAGCGTCGGCAATCATCTTCTTGCCCCGGAAGTGACCAAAGTAGGCAGTAGTAGCATGGCCGGTGTTGACGGTGAACAATTTGCGCTCAATGTATGGCTCCAGGTTGTCGACCCAGTGGATGGCAGGAATGTCTGGGTGGCCGACAGAGCCAAAGGGAGTCTTCTCGACAGCCCATTCGTAGAACTTCTCAATGCGGACGTCGAGGCCACTGTTGGGGGCCTGTTGGGGGACGATGCGGTCAATGGCAGAGTTGGCAAACTGGGCGCGGTCGTACAGGGACTCGACGCGGTCCTGGCTAGTGTGCTGCTTGATGAAGCCGTGCAGGGTGTCGGTAGCACCAATGGCATTCTCACAGGCAATAACCGCGACAGGCTTAGACTCTGTGCGAGCATCGATACCCTTGGCAATGACAGGGGCGATGAACTTGAGAATGTTGGGACCCACAGCACAGGTCACGACATCAGCCGTAGCAATTTCTTGGATGACATCGCTCTCATGGGTCTTGGAGTTGATGGCACGGTAGTTGGTGATGGTGGTGGTGTGCTCACCCTCCTCACTGACCTCAGTCACATTGTACGACTTGTTCTGCTGCAGAGCCTCGACCATCTTGTCCATGACATCGACGAAGACTACTTCGTAGCCTGCCTTGTGGAGGAACTCGGCGACGAAGCCACGGCCGATGTTACCACCGCCGAACTGGATAGCCTTCTTTCCCATGATGTAGTGGAAGTATGACTTAGTAGAAGGGGGGTTGAGGTTGAGGTTGAAGTAGAGTAATTGGAAGACTGATCAAGTGAGGAAGTTGATCAGTAGTATGAAAGGTGATTTGATATTGCGAAAAGAAGAGTAGTGTTGAAGACAAAGGAAGGTTGAGAATTGAAGGTTGAGAATCGAAGAGGAGGATGGAGAGGAGAAGAGGGGGGAATGGAGGGGTATATAAAGTATAATGAGCGAAATAAGAGAGAATGAGGCAGTCACGATGGAAACAACGGGAAAGTGCAACGGTGAATGAAACCGAGACTTTTCACGATGTTCGGGCCAATTCCAGTAAGTGGGGGAAAAAGACACACGCAGTGACTATGATCCAAGTAAAAGGGAACAAGACTAACTGACTATGACTTAATGGATCACGATGAGGCCCAATCCAAGCCCTTCCAAACAGGACCAGAGCCGGCCGTTCCAATGAGCGGCGATGACGCAGGCCCAAAGCGGATTGGCCATGCGGGCATTTTCAAGCCCTGCACGCCTCCCCTTACTTTGCTTCTATCCCAATCAGACACGGCCACTGTCATGGTCCCGGTTGATTCCGCACCCACAGACAATCCTGTCCTTGTCGCATGTGCGACTGTGCCATCGTGAGGTTGACGACGCGATAAACTAATGGCTCGTTGGCCCGTTAGCCCGGATGGCCTTCGACTAACTATAGTAGTCTACGTACAACTAGTAGTGGTGCTACTGTAAGTCATCTCACAGAATCTCATCCCAGCCGGTTCTAATACGTCTTTCCTCCAACAAGTCATCTTCCCTGAATGTTGTGTACCTATACTCCGATCGCTGACCTATAATGGGCTGGGGTGTGCTGCTTGTTGGTCCTGTTCTCAGGTCTCCTACATCATTCCCCTGACTATCATCATCGTCCAACCGGTCGTTAACATCATCATCATGGAATCAAATCGAGTATCCACCAGGGGTTGACCCACCGCTGGTGTCAGGCCAGCGATGGAATGGATAATTCAAAAGAGATTCTACTGTTAGCGCTGGATGACGCCGGGAACGAGCAGCGCCGGAGGGGCCAAGGGAGGCCATGCGCCCTCGTCATTCGACCCGAGCCCAAACCTACTCCACTGGTGACGTGACCGGTTCTTCCCCCCAAGCAACGCTACGCTGCACTGTACCACACTATCGTCGGTTACCCCCAGTGGATGCGATCAACAATGGATGGCCGTAGAATCCCTTTCATGGGGTTTCTGTGGGTCTTTATATCCGGCTCCCTCTTATCCCCAAGACAAACCCAATAGCTTCATGTTCTATAGCCTGGCTGGATGTATTCCTTGCATTTCGATTCATTTCTATCCGCACTATCTACCCTTTCCATCAAATACAGTCCCTATTCCTCTTCTTTCCATCACTGATTTCCCTCCTTTTCTGTCTCCACCCCGGGAGATGGTTCCGCACTGGATTTGACCGATTCATAGTCCGAGTGCATGAGGGACTTGGCTTGATCATCACAGTCACCTGCAAGGGTGCCTGTCTCTGCTCGGCTCCGGTCGACCAGCACCGTCAATAAACTGGTGATACCTCCCGTCAACATCAACCCTGTGGCGGCCCAAGTCATTCCCAAAAATTGGGGTCCGTACTCGGCACGGACACCCATATCGCGCCCATGGTCATTGACAAGATCGACAAATTGAAACGCGATAACCGTCGCAATAATTGAGGAGATTCCGAGCATGATAAACCCCAGCTAGCACGTGGTTAGTGCTGGGATCATCCCAATCATATGTCTGGGGAGGGCTCTTTACCAGTAATGCCGCTAATTCCATGACGGACTGCCGTGGTCCGCGCCGAACCAGCCAATACAATCTGCCCACTATCGCCAAGCCAGCAGCCCCGGCTCCGATGCAGTAGAAAATCCCTATACTCCGGCTGGTCATGCTGAACGCATGGAAATCGTCTGTAACGGCATCGGGCCATCCCAGGTTCGAAAGTGAAGTGGTGTTACCGGTTTCATTCAACAACACCACGGAGGGATCAAAGGCAAAGGGCAATGCGGCTTTGGAGCAATTTGAGAAGTGTCTGTTGCCGGTCATGAGATCTCCTTCGCAATACGACATCACATAGATGGAGTAGAAGTCATGTATCCCCGTATCTCGACTCTGTTCTCCAGAAAAAACCTATATTGACGTATCTCAGCTGACTGACTAGACATTAACGTGCAACCAGAGGGGTCGATCGGGGCTTAAACTAACCGTGAATATATCGACACCTGGGAGCACCGTCAATTGTGTGCCTGCGAAAAGACATAAAAAAGTGAGGATAAAAGCGATAAACGCTGTTATCGTGGGGAAGTAGTTCACTAAGCGACCCATGGTGAAAGATGATCTGCCTCTCTACTAAAATTGTTTGCGACGAAGCTTATTTGATGAATACTGCAGCATGATAACCATGAGGGGAATTGCTCGCTCGTAGACGACATGAGCGATAACTTAAAGGATCCCAACCGCCGTGTATTCATCATTCCTTGAGATGGCCGGTATACATCATCTTTGGGAGACAGCAATGACCCCAACTTCCTCTCCTCCTTCAAGCACGTGGCGGTTCTCCAGCTGCATTGGTCGCGGGTACTGCCAGAGATTCCAATTGGCCGACGCGAGCCGTTGGGAATGTGCATGCTCAATTTATCAGGGTTGGCATGTTCATTCTTGAGGGACCGCCCGCTTGAAGAATGCCCGCCTACCGGGAGCATTCGAGCTGAAAGGATCAAAAAAGGTCCAGATCCTGCATTTGTCATTTGATTCCCTGAACAACGCTGTTATATTGACAGTGCGTTATTGCTGACACTAAGATTCGACATCCTGAAAGAACAAACTCTACAGCTAGCCTTCTTAGAAAAGCCGTCATTCTAAAGATAGTCTTCCTCATATTTCCCACAAAAAGCCACTTTTACCTAAGTAACAATTTTGAGAGCCCGTAGTGACACTACATCCTCAACAACTCTGAAGCCTATGCCCCTGGAGGTGGCCTTAGGAGGAATCCTTAAAGATGCTCTATGTACGGAGTAGCCTAGTTTAGATATGATTCCAATCTGAGGACAACTACTATATTTAGAAATGGTGTAAAGTCCGTTTAGCAGGGTGTCAAGTCTAAATAGAGCCCGCCGTTTGTAATAACATCCAAGCAATTCAGGGCTGTCTTTATCAATCGCAATTCGATCGAGACTTCGACTTCCACACACACACACACACACACACACGACAATATCACCAGTGGCACAAGCCACGTTTGATTCCAATATCTGTAAATACGCACTTCTTTGCTATTCTCAGACCAAACGAAGAATTGGAATATCCGAAAAACAACCTCATCTCGTAACACAAAGAAATCCCACTGTCAACCCCAGAGAAGTCTCGACGCTCGCTGTTCAGCAGATTTCAGTAATACGTTCGAATAATTAGAGAAACTACTACTGCTACACTAGCCAGGCTTTCTCTATACCAGGATTTGCTCATGTCACAATACCTGCTTATCTTAAAAGGTAAGGTCGGCTTTCTATAACATAAGGCCTTCTAGTTAATGCTCACCACCTTCTTGTTATAGAAGTATACTGTCTGAGGCAGTAGTTAATATCTCAGCCAGTTAAATAGGCCTTTGCTTGATGTCCGTCTGCAGAATTAATTTTATTCGCACTACAACACTACTAGTTTCTGCTGGTGCTTCACTCAAACAGGAATCTTCACTATTCTCCCGTTGGCCTTGGGAAGTCACTTGCCACTGTCATTCCCAACCATGGTGGTTTTTCCCTATTTAAGTCTTCTCATTGATCTCGGATTTTCTGCTTTCTACATCTATCCGATCTTTCATCTTCTCTGATCAATGTAATATCATCCTTTCAATATATTTATGCAAGCCAAGGAAGATATATGTAATAATACTGCACTCATACTAAAGCCCACAATCATCCGATTAGTATTAATCCAACAAATGCTGGTTATCGTGCCTGGCAACAGTCGCAAGATGAAATCTACGGACACCAAACACTCTTCCAACCGAAGCAGAGCCCCAGAAGCTTATATCATAAGGCGTCTACCATCAAAGCCAATGACACTGGATAGATACTAACTATCACTGAATCACAATGACTAATGTGCTTCTTCTGTGGCCGAACGGCCATATTGACCTACGTTAACTACCGCATGTATATACATTCTCCCGTGCCACGATCAGTACTCGGAGTGCCTTTGGAGCAACCAAGAGGACTGAAATATAAGGTTACTATGCTTCAGAATGGTCGCCAGACCTGCTGTTGATTCAGCAGGAGATATTGCAAACCCTACATTACATTGATTACTCACAAGCGACTACTCAACTCGGCATCGACGAGCTCCACATTATAAATGGACTTGATAACATAGTATGATTTACAAAAAGAAACCCCTTCATACATATAAGGATATAGGGTAAAGGTTCACAGTAGGTAACGAGTTTATAAGCTACTTATTACGAGTCCACGATGCGCATCAACAATAGAAAAAATATATAACACCTTTTAAGATATAATTACTTACTACGGTTAACCCAGGCGTTAGACAATGTGGCCCTTGTTGACTACTACTAATCCCCGTTTGTTTCTTTATACGAGTGGTGGACGTTACTCTTACAAAGACTGTCTCATGATTATAGATGCGGGAGGAATGGGAGACTACCAAGTTGCAGTCAACAATATAGAACCCGTAATAGCTGTGCTTACTTTTACGTGCTGGCGGGGATGCAAGGAATAGGGCGATTGAGTTGACTAAGGGACCCATAGGGAAGGATGAGGAATGTATTATTCCTAGTTTGAGGATAAAAGTGTTGACAACGGATTGAGCTGTTGTTGGCTGTGCAGCTAGTCTTCTTTCTTCTTTGAATAAGAGTCTCTCTATTGCGCAGCTGTGACCTCATTTGTATTACTCATAATCTAGCTAGTTTGTGGACCAGAAAGACTTGTTGATTCATGATATATCATCTAGGTGAAGCCCAGATGAAGCGAAAAGCACATATGTAGAACCAAAAGGGTATCAGATACATTGCTGCGGCTGGGGTATGTGAAGAAAGCGAGCGTATATAGGATTGATCCTCAAAAGAAGGATCTGTAAGAGACTGGATCATTAAGGCTGGAAAAGATAGATATTTCCCTTGAGCAGGGATATAAATGCGACAGAAGAGTAGTTTGCATCTCAAGGCCGTTGACCGAGAGGTGAAGTGAAAAGCCTTAATCTGAATGACAATAAAGAAGAAAAGAACTCGGACAGATCAGAATGCTACACCCACAGCGGAATGACGATACTCGTAATATTGGGTAAGCATCTCGTCATAGACTTCGGGCTCCTGGTGTTGTGGCTGTTCGCCCTCGTAGATTGTGGGATAGGTGTGTTCTTCTGTCACGGTTGGGAAGGTCTGTTTCGGTGAGAAAGGACTGCCAAGAGGAAGGTCAAAGTTCCGTGATTCAGTGCTCGATGCTTGCATCGTTGGGGCTATTGTCGTGCCGCTGGCGAGGGACGGGGTGGCTTTGTGCCCTCCGGTGAGATTGCTAATAGTTGATGCGAGCGTAGAGCCGCTCAGCGTCCGCGACCGGATGCGAAATGGCCCCTTGTCGCTGGTTTTGATCGGGTTGGAGAAAAGGAAGTTTGGCTTGTTGGGCGTTTGAAAGAGCCACTGGGTAACACGTCCCGAGCGAGTTGGGGTTCGATTGGGGTTCTCCGATGGTGTGGTCGGAGGTCGGCTTTCGGAGGGAGTAGTAGGTGGGTGATACGTACTGCCTGAAGAAGGGGAATCCTCCTCAGTTGGAATAGAAGGTAAGGGGCTGTCCTGCAGGCTGGGTTTGGTGGGAGTCCTAGGGACCGTGGACGTAGGGTCCTTGTGGGTGTCCCGGTGTAGCTCGTTCCTAGCCAGGGACGTGCTGCCACCATTTAAATCCAGCCTGGGAGTGGTTGAAGGAACCGCACTTGGGGTCAAGCCAGTGACCGCAGAGCTACGTTGTGAAAAATGAGGGATTAAGGGACTGGTAACCGGAGGATTCTTCTCTAATAACTGGAGCTGTTCTTGGGTTGGCAATGAAGACCGACGGGAGCCTGACCCGACCGGCTTTCTCGCAAGCTGGAACGACGAAGAGGGTCGGTGAGTTCGCGGTTGCGATATCCGGCCCATTTCGGTGGACGAGAGAGCCCGCGGGGGCCGTGAAACGACCTGCTTGCGGTCGTGCTCGAGAGGGAAGTCTTCAAACTTGGGAAGATCCGGGAGTCTGTTGCCTGGGGTATTGAAGCTCAACTCCAGGGGACGATATTCATCCAATTCCGTCAAGAACATTGAGACTCTTCTAAACTCGGAGGGTCCACTGATCCTCACGGGAGCAGTTGACTTCCTCTTGAGCGACATGCTAGCTCGATTGGACGCTCGCGATGCCCGGGTCCTGCCCTCAACCACCCATGACTGTAGCGATGATACCCGAGGCTGAGGGCTTGGACTGGGCAAGTCATCGTAGCCGGTGAGGTTCATCGGAGGAACGAGATGAGGTTGAGTATGGCATACTTTCATTTCTCGTTCGACACCTGCAAGGGACGACTGTCAGTCCCCATGTCTGAGAGGGAGGAGTTGTAGTAGAAGAGAAAGTATGGGGAAAGCTATACCTTTTTGCTTCATAGCCTGTTGATGATGAAAGCTTTCATCGTCGCCCCTCCCGCTCAGGCAGAACAAACAGGAAGATATCCAGCCAGTGAATATGGAGCCTGCCTGCTCAATTGCCTGCATCATAGCTGCCAGCGCATCAGCAGTGATGCTCCATCGCCCAGTGGCCAGGGAGGGAGGACTGGGTGGGGACCGGAAGAAAAGGCAGGCAGCAAAGGCGCGAGCAGGCGATGCACGAGGCGGTCAATGAAACACTAATACGAGACATCTGCCCAGCGGGGATGCAGGAGAATTAAATCGGAGGGTCCGGGAGGAGGGGGGGCCCATGAGGGCGCTGATATGAGAGAGAGAGTGAGAAAGAGAGGCTGGGAAGGTTAAAGTAAAACAAAGAAAGCGAGTAAATAAGCAGGAAGATGAAGGAGGGAAGCGGGACAAGAGTAAGTACTAGGGTTCTGGTGACCAACCATCTCTCCCAACTGTCCCATTTTCCTCCCCACGATAAGTGTCAAAGTAGTAAACAACAGAGAAAGCAGCGACCGCTTGATGCTATTGTTCCCCTGATTCATCAATACTGGGAGATTGGAAGTAGCAGAGCAGCTAAGGAAATGGTGCCATGCAGTCCAAGGCACCCGCTAAACTAGCTGGCAACCAATAACCGCCACGATCAGCCCCTCCTCGACAGCGTGTCGGCGTGTCGATCAGCCATCAATCCATCAACTGATAGCCATGTCACCTTCTCGGCGCCTAATGGTTGCCCTCCATTTGCTCGGATCGCTGAGGATGTGTGATCCGGCCAGCAGCAGGTGACATTCACACTTCACACTCACACCAGATCACTCATTAGACGGAAACAAATTTAGATACTCGGTGCCTGACTGTAGTGTCCCCTCCCCCAAATTCAACTTTCGCAGCTTTCCCCTGGTTTCATCCTTCACCTCCTGTCTTCTCGTATCGATAAAACATTTCATGGTTTCATTCATCTTACATATCCTATGCTTCAAGAAATTTTGGCAGATGCGCCCCCATATGTAATAAAGCCACTGAAATTGGCGGGGATGGGTCTGTGCATGAAGCAAGCTCTGCTCTCCTAGCGATCCCACACATTCTCCTCTTCCAGCCCTCCATATGCCCAATTTGGCCGCGTCGTCGGCTCATCATCCCCTGCTCGATCGGTTGGGCTTGCAGCTCTGGTATCCTCCAGCGTGCCATCTGCGCTATTCTCAAGATAGCTTGGCCGTTCATCAACTGGCTCCCCAGAGGGTCTCCTAAATGAGAGGTCAGTGCTGTTCCGTTCCGCTGCAGAAAGATGAGATCTATGAAATGGTGCAACATACTGGAAGTGCCTCTGGTCGGGCTCCAGCCAGGTCGATCCGAACGCCTTCTGTGTATGCAATCTCTCCGCTTCCTCTGCTTTGTGGTCCTCAACCACCAAGTCCACTAGCTGACTGCGCTGGGAGCTGCGGGATATGGACGAGCTAGTCTCCTGACGAACGGTCTGGCGACCGTTGGGGGGCTCCCTGCGAGAACTACGGGAACTGCCTTCACTTCGTGGGGTACCTCCGCCATTGTTGATGCGGGACTTGCGGTGATTTCGCGTCCGTTTTACCGCCCCAGGATTTTGTAGATTTGGGGAGCTTCGGTGGTGTATTTGCCGTTGATCTTCCGGCACTTCGTTGGCCGTGATCACGGGATACTGATTGCAATTAGCCCATCGGTGTCCTGGACTAGAGCGCCATCCAGTTTGACTTACATTCCAATCGCCGAATTCAAGAGTGCGTGCATTGGCAAAGAGTCTCTCATCCTCATCGTCAAGACCCATCTCCTCAATGTCGCTGTTTGATCGAAATCGACTGAGCGTGCTGCTTCGTCGATCGCGACTGCTTCCTTCAGACCCTGACAGTAATGGCGTTCGACTGTTAACTTCGCCTGGTTTGGGGATCCAGTACTTCGCTTTGCCCCCACGCTCATACCGCATGCCGTGCATCACTCGCCTGACACGGGAGTTGGACTCGGCATGAGGGATGATATGATCACCGGAGTCAAAGAGTCTGTACTCGTAGTTTTCTCCTCGAAGGGTCATCTTTGTGTCTTCAATAAGGTCGCGGATACCAAAGGAATCGCGAAGGGCAAACTTCACAGGCAGACGGGCAGCTGAAATGGTGGAGTCGGCGTAGTCATGCCAGGAGAAAGCGTACCAGTGGGTAATGGCGAAGAATGGCATCTCAAAGCAGATCAAACTGTCCTGAATCGCAGCGGCGAGATTGTCGGGTGTATATCCCGCCACGCCGTTGGATAGAGCGCCCAGCCACTGCAAGATGGACAAGAAAAAGCCTTGCCAATAAGAAGCAAAAATAATAAGCTTGACACAGAGGAACTTGGGAACCGGACGGAAAGGTGCCAGGTCGTTGTGCAAACAGACCCAAAACATGGCTAACGAATAGAGACTTATGGTCACGCTGACATTGTACACGATACCCGTCCAGAGATACCCCGATGTCAAGCCCAGATAGCCTTCCTGATAAGTGTCCGTCGCTTTCATGACAATGGAGATGATAGCCAGAATTGGCTTAAGCCATGTATACTGAAGAATCCCACGCTTGACAGCCAAGAAGGTCTGAGGGTCGGAAATATCCACTTTAGGCAGGATATGGTTCAATGGCCAAGCATGTTGGATTGGAGGACGTCCATGAGTCATGATAATCAATGCTCTCTCGCCTCCAAGAAAGTTGATGAGTAGTTGGAAGAAGGTATAGATCGTGAACGCCTGCAGAGCACCGTAAGCATGTGGCCAGCCAGTTGTCGGCGTGCATAGCTTACCTCGTAGACATCGCGAACGGGGTCCAGCCACATCGCCGCTTTCAAGGATATAATGCTAGCCCAGGAGGAAACCGCATAGATAGGGACCCTATTGCAATCAGCATTGCGCCAACATAGTTGTCAATGGAAGTGGAGACGGACATCAACAGTATGCGGACAACATATCGCTGGAGGAGTGGTTTTCGATAGTTTTTCCTATGCCACAGTCAGAACAGAACTAGGATGAGATGGAAGGTTTGGAAGGTGGTACGTCTGAAGCCATATGGACCTAAGATCGAGATGATCGCTTGTTATCAGCACATGTACCCTTCGGGGGCTACCAGGGGCAGCGGGGAAGGAGAGCTTGCTCACAGGAGAGACAGAAGTGAAGCTACCAGCGCAGAAACACCAGCGACTATCACCACCGCTCGTGCCAGGCTCGAGCCTGTACCACCGAAGGATGAAATGCTACTCATGATCAACAAGTTATCGGTAATCGCGGTAGTTGACCGCGTGCGCTTTCAAGGCAGTGTCCGCGGGCAGAGCATTCCGTTTCAGACCACCAGAATGTCACCAAGCACCGAACATGATCATCGGACGGGTATAATCGTGGAGCTGAAAACTTCCCAAGACCTTCCAAAGCGAAGAACTCCCTCGCATGACGGGTGGGAGAGAAAGCAAGGTCGTGCGGTGAATATTGCGTGGACATCGGGGGGGTGGGATCCTTATCCATCAGGCCCATTCCTCCGCTCTAGCTTGAGACACCGCCTACTGACACTCTGTGACTGGTTCCGTGACGGCAGCCTAGTCTGAGCTAAGCTGGTCTAGTGCGCGTCCGCCGCCCGTCCCTCCGTCGGAGCTTCCCCGTCCTCTCCACCATCTTTTTGTGACCCAAACCCGCCATTCCAGCCTCAGTTTCAAGGAACCTGGGGCCCCCTTTCCCTTGTTCTAGTCTGCTTGAAATGCTGTCGCGAATCTTCCATATTGCTTGAACTATGCTTCTCCTCCTATTCCGGCTCTCATTGACGGCGCATTGATTGTTTCGCCGAGTCACCATGTTCCCGAAGTACACGGGTTCTGGTAGGAGGATATTGCGACATGGCCAGCACAAGCTTGACAGCTTTATCGCTGACCCCGGATCCAAGCTTCAACTGGTTAGTTTTGTTGTCGCCTTTATATCACAATGGCTAACATGCATTCAGGTTCTTCCTCCTTGAGCTCATTGTCTCCTGCATCCTGTGGGTTCTATTCATACTCTCCCCTTTCTCTACAAGGTGACCCGCTAACGATCATACTACTCAGTGTATTGTTCTTTTTACTCTACTTCAATCGCCTCTTTGCGACCCTCTTGTCATACGGAATCCGCGCTTATACTTGGCATTACTATCGTGCCTATGTCGACATCCGTGCGCTTCAGATCTCCCTATTGGGAGGCAGGATCTTCTTTAAAGGCATCCGATACCATGGGGTGAACGAAACAATTTTTGTGCATGGAGGTTTTATAACATGGCATTATTGGAGACATTCAGTGAGGCAGACGGACCTTGCGAATGGTAGACCCGACAATCAACAATCACAGGATGAAACCCAACACAATGGAACCGCCAGTGCCAGCGCGAGCAACAGTAGCGATCGAGGCGAACAAGGGGGGCTGAAAGGCACGAACTCGCTTCCTTGTCGCATTACCGCCAAGCTTTACGGTCTGGAGTGGTTTGTATATAATCGAACTCCAGCCTACGAAGGAATCCTTGCGGGCTTCAGCCCCCCGCCGCCCGCGCCATCGTTCACCAGACCGCAGTATCCTGGAAGCAATACCTTAGATTCCCGACTTAAAGATGATACAATGGATGGTTCTGCGGGGCATACGCCTGACCAGGCGTCCGATCTCCATGGCAGTCGTCGCAATAGTGAGATGAAGGAGACGGGCGCGTCTGCGACTTCGGAAGGCAATGGGCAAGAGGTAGGGGAGAGCCTATCTAGGTTGCTCCGGCTCCTGCCCATTAGAATCGAGTGTGACAAAGGTGCTATCGTCATGGGCAACGAAAACACAAGATCTGTACTAACTGCCATCTTCGATGGCGCCACGGGTTTGATCGAAGCCTGCGATTCTGGTCCCCTCGACCTTTACCGGCAAGTGTTCTCTTTTGACTTCACCCACCCGGTCATACAGATGCGGCCCAACCCAGACTTCAAGCAGAATCAGATCGCTGCTGCGAAAAGCCTCGGTTCAACCCGGTCGGAGCAAATGGAAACGAAACGCAAACGCGACACGATATTCAACTACCAACTGCAAAAGCGCCGGGTCTGGCACAGTATCCGTGATCTTATCCCGTACTTTCAAACTTCTGTTGAATCATTCCACATACATGAGAAGAATCCAGAGGCGGCTCCTCGAAGCTCGGCCGACATCCCCGATGACACACGCTGGGTTGGTCTTTCTCGATATTTGGATGAAAGCTCCCAGGATGACCACGAAGAGTGGAACCCTGTCGAATATGCCAGGTTTTCCACACTGATTGATAGTCCTAGCATGACTGTGGCATACTACTGGGATATCCCTGGTTGTGTCAAGCCGTCCCCCGGTGTACCGACACCGACACCGGCACCTTCAACTTCGGCATCGGATATCAATGGCGCACCACCTCCGGAATGGGGAATCGATGTGAAGATCGGCGGCGGCACTATCAACTATGGTCCTTGGGCTGATAGAGAGCGAGTAGGCTTGCAAAATATATTTTTCCCAAATGCCTACAAAAGCTCGCAGCCGGTTGACCCGCTGACCCCCGGTGAGCTGAGAAAGAACTCTGTATTTCGCCTACGGATCGAAATCAACGAAGAGTTGACATTGCGTATCCCAACCAGGGAGCCATCAAAGGATTGGCAGTGGAAAGGCCGTGCTGACGCAATACGAGGTGTTTCCAAACTCCGAAAGCAATCAAGCCGAAGGCAGTCGCGCGCAGGAGACGGGGATAAAGGCCATATTGGCCCTGATATACGCCCTTTCGGATGGCTTTCACTCCGTGTCGCGGGCGATTCCACCATAAATTATGCCATGGATATGGTAGCATCGGCCTCAGGGTTCCATAGCCAGCTTGACCTCGATCTTCGAGAAACTAAGATGTTGTCCAGTGTCAACCATGCGCTGTTGTGGCAATGTCCTAGACAACTTGTTAGCTGCGATCTCTCCGTACCACTATCTTGGAACAGCCTTCGGACCTGGGTGTTCGACGTTAAGAGCACCGATATGGAACTATTTTTACTGCGCGATCATATTTTCCTTGTGACGGATCTCGTCTCTGACTGGGCGTCGGGCCCCCCACAGGACTATCACACGTTCGTACCGTTCATATACAAGCTCAAACTGTCGTTTGACAATTTTCGCTTGTTTCTGAACGTCAATGATATGAACATTGTCAGCAACCCATCGGATCTGAATGACAATCGCTCATTGGCTATCAAAGGCACGACACTCACTTCCGACATCAGCATCCCTTTGAGCAAGTATCAGCCTGAGCAGAACACAGTTGGGTTCAGCGTCAATCTGGAGGATGGAGGCATAGACTATCTGACTCCAGTATGGGATACGCTACATTCATTTCTGCAAGATAAATCGACTGCCACGTTGAAAAGCCTCGTCATTGATGGTTCATATAACTACTATCTGTCAACATCCCCGGAGCTGACTGATACGTTATTGTTAAACATTGACGGGTTTTCTCCCAGGCTCTATCTATTTGGGTTCTTGATACGGTCATTCATGACAATCAGAGAGAACTATTTTGGAGAAGAAATGCATTTCAAAACTCTAGAGGAGTATCAGGAGCACGCATACCAGCAGGAGGAGTCTGGATCGCATGGCGGAGTTAACCCAAACAAGAAGTCAAACGACCTCGATGTGATCGTGCACGTAACTGTCAACAGTCCTTGCGCGCTCTTCCCAGGAAATATCTATGGTTACTCCGACTGTCTAAGGCTTACCGCGCCTTTGCTGGAGGCTGACCTTCGATTCACGAACTACTACATGGACTTGCAGTTCTCCCTAGCCCCTCTCAAGGTGGGCTTGGAATCCAGCGAGGTAGAGGAGAAAGTCCTTCCCGCGGAGACCCAACTTTTCATCGATGGTGTTTCTATATACGGCCACCGTCTATTCGGACTACCCCCGGCTGAACCTACCTATGTCTGCAATTGGGATTTTGGAGTTGGCCGCATTATTGGAGAGTGCTCGCCCGAATTCTTGAGCTGTCTTGTAGCGGCATTGCAAAGCTTCGACTTGACGTTTGACAATGAGGAAAATGCGCTGCCACCATTATCTCCGATCCAGCTTCATGATGTCACCTTCTTACGGGCCAAGGTGGATTCTATTCATCTTTCTGTTCTCCTAGACAAAGCCGCGCTGATGGTCATGTCTGGGCCAATAACGACAGAGTTCAATGATCTGGCGAATGCAAAGTTTTCCAAGCGGATGAAGCTCCTCATACCGGACCTTTCCATTGCCGCAATCGACTACCAGTTCTTGGGTCGATTTGGAAGTTTGCTACATACGGAAATCACGCCTCTCGCGCTTATCCAGTCTAATTTGAAGATTATGATGGTTCAAAGAAGAAGTGATATTAATGAAAGCCGGAAACTACAACAGGAGCATATCAAGGTGCATGATAAAAGGACACAGCGGACGCCGTGGCTACTCATGGATTGGGAGGACATGGATCCCGACTCGCTGCAGCACAATGAAGATGACTCTGTACCACCGACTATTCCTATACCTACAATGCCTGAGCCTATTTCGAAACACTCCGGCTTAGGGTCCTTGCAACCGCCGAGGCGACGCTTTTCTGCAGCCAGAAGCAATCTGAGTTCGAGAAGCTTTCTTGTTCTGCAAGATACATTGAGCGTGAAGAGCGTACCTAAACGAGAAACACGTACAGCCACTCGACCAACAAATATGCCATCTAGAATGGGGAGGAATCAAAAGCCGCATCGGGCAGCGACAGTCGGTTCAACTCCTACAGCATCTAAGTACCCGGATACGTTCAAGGATGGATCAGTAAGCATATCTGGTGTGTCAAATGCGTGGGCCATGCCGGACTTCTCTCTCCATAAGACCGTCCTTGATACATCACAACTCCCTTCGGAAAAGGACTTGCGCAAAGATGGTACTTCACCGAGGGGCAACCCCCCCGTTCTGGATATCGACCCGTTTTTCTCTTTCTCCGACAGTGATGTAACGACTTATACTAACATTGCCATTGAACTGCCCGTTGGGATTAGGGGCTCCTGCT